CCCCTCCAAATATAATCCCTACAAAATGGAGACCCTTGAGACCACGACACTTCTTCCCATCGTCCTTTTGATCATTCTCTCGAATGGGAGTTTGACCATTAACATACTCTTTAAAGTGCACATTTTTAATGAGGTCTTCAATAGCCTGCTTAAGAGCTTAGCATTCATCGGTATGATGCCCATTATCTCGATGATAATGGCAATACTTCCCTCTGTTTCTTATATAAAGGGGATTTGTCATGGGCTTTAGCTCTCCGAGCAAATTAGATTCATCTGATCTATCCAGAATAGCTGATATTGATGCATTCAATTGAGTATACTGATTTTTGTTGTGATCACACCGAGGGACTTAGGCATAAGATTTCTTGGGCTCAAACTGTTGCTTCTTTCCTTTTCTCTGATCGTCATTAGCCCATTTACGATCAAGCCTTCTACTATTCTCTCCTCGGTTTTCCTCCCTCTGACTGGGAGCACTAGTCGAAGGACCGAGGTCGTGGTGATTCAAAGTAGCCACCAAATTTTCAATTCTGAGATATTTCTCAGTGAGATTGTAGAAGCAAGTGAGGGAAATATTGTCCTCGGATTGTAGTTTCTTCCATAGGTTGGTTTGCAGGCAACTCCTGCAATGATAAGAGTTTGAACTGAATCTTTGGGTGTATTAGCCACCTTATTCAGCTCCTTGTGGAACCTATCAATATAGGACTAGAGGAATTCATTCCTCTCCTACTGTATGTTGCTAAGATAGCTCAATGATATTGATAACTTCCTACTAGCCTGGAAGTGTCTCAAAAGTAACAAACTCATCTGCTGCCAGATTTGATAGATCCTGGTGGAAGTAATCTAAACCAGCACTTACATGGGCAGTCAAAGTCACTGCTAAACAGTAACATTTCGCCAAGTTGGAAACTTAGTGAAGCTCCATGAGGTCGTTAAACTCATAGAGATGATCATGCGGATCAAAATTCCTATCGAATACTCTCATATCGGGCATTTTAAATCTTGACGGGAGAGAAGCAATCAAAACTGTTAGAGAAACGGGAGATGCTTCAACGACCTACCCTCACTCATTCTGTTGAGCTCTAAGCAGATCTAAAGCTTGCTATAACCCTCAATCTGAGGAAGCAGAGCCACTTGTGGATCACTTTCTATAATGTGGGTTCGCTCCCCATGATTACGATTAAGGAAAGACTGTAGATCAGACTCTTCCACGCCTCGACCAAAGCCATACGAAGGCACTAAATGGCTTGGAGAGTTATCCTAACCTTGGTAGTGGTCAGAACCAACCCACGTATGGTGGGTATTTCCCTCTTGGTAATGCTCGAAATAATTATTTTGGCGATGATGGGAATATCCATGCCATACACTCTAGTGGGGGTGCCCATGTGATGTGGCATGAGATGGCTCATGATGTGACGTACCACCAAGTCGCAAAGCTACAAGTACTCTACCTATTTCACAACTGGTATTCATTGGCCCTTTTGAGCCTTTTGACCCATCATCAGCCACATATTTTCCCTTGTTCTTATGCATTGTAGTGCACGTGGTATGAGCTCTCGCCCGTTTCCACACTTTAGCACGACTTACAAGCCTTTTAGGAGGTGGTACCACCTTGTCAAAATTGGGTGGTATGACCTGATCCTAACGATCTAACCTTTTGTTAACCATTTAGAGAGTATTATTGAACCTCTCCAGGTAGTTCATCACAGCTAGATTGAGCTTAGAGGTTGAAGGGATATCTGCCGCAATACCTTGGGGAATTGGAGATACTTCGAGAGAAGTAACATCCTGTACCCAAGGGATCTCCTTGTTGTTGGTGCTAGTTCACTCGGTTTCAAGACAACGAGCCATATATTCACAAGTAGAACTTATTGATCAAAGATTCTAAACGAAAAGTGGATATAAAATTTGCGCTCTTTCTAGTGCCAAACTATTGATGCGATTTTGACACCAATGACTCACACATGCAAAGTGATAAGGTGTTCTTAAAAATTACACGTGAATGATTATGAGAGAGTTAATTAATATAATCAAATACAAAGATTGAATCATAAATGAGAGAGATGATTTTTAAAGTGGTTCGAATGCTTAAAGCGAATCCTACGTCCACTGTTTCTTTTATATATAAGAGATTACAAGAGGTTGCGTATTGCGAACAACGAGCAGAGGTATAATAATTGAGTATTCAAAGAGAATATCAAGTCAGTCTCTTTCTGTAGGTTATCTTTGCTCTAAAAATGAAGATTATAATCAGAATGAGGGTTCTGTATCAGAATCCTGAAAATAAGAGGGGGAGTCCTCTATTTATAGTAGAGGAATCCAAGGTAATGATTACAAATCTGCAAGTGGGTAGGTGTCGTGCAAGTCCTTCCTTGCCTCTCATTGGCTGATAACTTAGGAAATATCCTCAAATTATCCAGGGCTTGGACATGTATGGTCCTTAGTCACTCATAGACAAAACCTGAATCTAATAAGTTGATGACAACCATATTCTTTCTATCTTGGGTCAACGTGGCAGCTCTTGGACGGCGCAAAGTCTTTCTGAACTCTGATTGGTGCTTGTTGATGTAAGCTTACGTCAGCCCTGATTTTTTATGCATAACATGTCTAGAAGAGATTGTTCATTTTAACAAACAAAAAATTGTATTTTTCACCATCAAACATTGGAACGAGGGGTTGAGAAATTTGACACTTGAGGTGACCATTTAATCTTCTTCAAACTCGGAGCTTTTCAACACTTTCATCCACTCTTCAAGTTTTGATACTAATTTTGTTGGCTAATTCACAAACACAATACACACACTGATTTTCCAAGAAAAGATAATGAATTTGAGCTCAAGACTTGAAATATAACCTGAGAATTTGTATAAAAACAGAACAAAAACAAAGGAACAAGAAAGAAATTAAATACTAAAGAAGAATTTTAGAAGCTCTCCAACTTTGTTCGCCAGCCTTTTCTACGATTCTAGGTTACGTTTCTTATACTTTCTATCTTTTTTTCATTCTTCTAATTACAATGTAAAAACTTAGCCTTATATATATTTTTATAAGACTTAATGGTGAGCCAACAAGTGGCTTCTCCCACAATACATATTTAAACTCAAGTTAACAAACACAAACCACACAAATTAACTAAACTAAACTGCAGTAAAAAAAAAAAAAAATTAAGGGTCTTTTTCGTACATTATTTGAAGTATGATATTCTAAAAAACTATTCTGAACATGATAGGATAGGATTTTGAGAAAGTGTTTGGTACATTTTCTGAAAATATTTAGATTACTTTTAACCCCCTACATTTGTTAATTTAACTAAACACCTTCTAATAAAAGTTTATAAATTAACAAAAGCAGCATCACTCACCCAATTGACTGCCAACCACCACCGCTAGATGGTGGCTGGTAGGGGTGTTCAAAAGAATTGTTCGGAACCGAAATCGGAACCGTTGGGTACCCGGTGTTTGGTTCTGGTTCCTACCCAGAACTGATCGTCAACGGGTAGGTTCCAGTTCCAAAAATCTGGAACCGACACTGTACAGTTTCGGTTCCGGTTCTAGTTCCTATAGTCAAGAACCAGAACCGAAACCGAGAACCAGGACTGAAATGAAATGTTTTTAAAGAGTGGGGGGTTATTGTAATTTACCTGCCACATATAAATACTTCAGATTAGGGCAAAAAAAACTCATTTTCTTTCTTCCATTCTCATGCTCTTCATCTGCTCTTGCTACTCTCTGTCCATTCACTTCAGATTAAGGTAAAATTTCAGCTTTTTTTTCTTTGCAAAAAGTTCATTTTCTTTCTTCCCTTCTCACAATCTTCGTCTGCTCTTGCTCTCTGTCCACTCACTTCAAATTAAGGCAAAAATTTCAGCTTTTTTTTCCTTTAATTTGCTTGGCTTTGTGAAATCGTGATCCTTGGAATCTAGAAGAAGACACTAAAGCACTCCAACTTCTTAAGGTAATTTCCATTTCTTTCTTTTAATTTTATTTTTGAATTTTAACTTGATCTACAGATTTAGAGTAACTTCATTTCTGCTGTAGAGTAACTACAGATCTAGTTAAACTAGCTCCCCAAGTAAGAAACCAAGAGTATATAGAAATCTAGAGATAAAATTTTTACCGTATACTATATATATTATATCTTTTAATCTTCATGACCTTCAACCACAAGATTGGCAATGGACCAAAGAAATTATTTGAACTAAAACTTCTGCAATAGAGAAAATAGGAAACCAAGGAAATTATTAGAATTGGTTCCAGCAAATGGAGTATTCAAAATTTGAAAGATATGCACTTAACAGGCTCGTCAGCTTGGTGAGATTGCCAAGTTCTGCGGGCACTTGACCTGTGAGATTGTTTATGCCCAAGCTACTTTTCAATTATTCAAACACAAAGTAAACAACTGTGAGTAGACCTTAACCAAAAAAAATGCGTTAAATCGAAAATTTCAAAAGCTCTGAATTATAGGATATTAGAAAGCTTGTTGGGAGTTACAGGTACTGCATTTCTGATAACTCTCCAATTTCCGCTGGGATGGGTCCATTTAACACATTTTGACCAAGATTCCTGCATCATAAAATCATGATCATCAAATCATTTGAAAAAGACAGAAGGAACTAAAACTTTAATTTCTTTTTGAAGAATTCAGAATCTTACAAGTCTATTAACTTCCTTAGTACGAACAGTTCACTTGGTATTTCTCCAAAAATGTCCAAAGCATAGATCTTTCTGAAACATGGAATACATATATATAAATTAACTTAGACCCTGACCATCATAACAAAATACCAGTGCTAAGAATAAGATTTGTCAGTGAAGATGATAAATTAAACTAACAGGTGGGTGACGTGACAGGGACTGGCGGTGCAGTCACATATAATACGTGGATTTGCATCCTCAGATGCCCATGGNTATACTTATAGAGATTTGTTCAAGCAGGAGGAGTTGAAAACTGTTGAAGATCTTCAGCTAGCTTCTAGATGTTGCAAAGAGTATGTATGGTTGCTTTACTGTCTTATGCATAATATACTCAGTGAAATCATCGTAATGTTGTTTATTGTATCAGTCTTTATCCCATTTGATCTTTAACTTTTCATTAGCAAGGTTGATGAGTTTGTAAAGGCTAAAGTGGATCCTTTAATCACTATGTATGGCCCTTAAAGATAACCCTTTTTCTGTTTTGTTTGATATGAATTCTGATGTAAAATTTACTTTACTAACACTGGATGATTATTTTTTTTCTTAAATCAGAAATCAGGGGATGTGTAAATCCAAGCCCTTCTGGAAGAGAATCTGGTACTCCATCTCTCGCTTATTTTGTTTGGCTTTCCATGCTTCTGGTTTAAGTTCTAATCACCCTTGCATTTACACCAAAATTTTAGTTTAAAGGACATTTTTCTAGCAAAATACATCCTGTGACATTGCAAGAACAGTTCATAGTCATTGTGGACAAATTATCGAGTCTTAGTTCAGAGAAGAAAGTGTCCCTGAGCCTTGAGTTAAAGTAGGATTACCTCATATAAGACTAACGTGTGATTGATACTTTAGCATTGGAGTGAATATTCTCAACGCGGGCTGCTCTCGCACCATAAATCATGTTATCTTTAAGAACCTCGGTTGGACAATATGTGACTAAATTCAGCAAAATGCATGCAGCTTCATTATGATCGCTGCCTGTTTCACTTGTAAAAATTCTGCTTATATAATTATGTCTTTTTATGATATGATGCTTTGTAAACTGTTACATTTCAAATCTAAACATTTCATTCGGTGCTTCTTTTTGTTAGTATATATGCTCTTTTTATTTTTGGATTCCCCTTTTGAGTTTTGATTGCTTATATTCTGTCCCCATTTGCTTTTTGGATTGTTTTTCTAAGGTGGGTTGGTTCAAATTTTAAGGTATTGGTGGGGTGCATTCATGTCTACAATTCTTGAGTTTATAAATGATGGTGACTATACGTTTAAAGATTCAATGAAGTCGAAGAAAATGAGATGCTAAACACTAAATCAGATTTTTATTTATTGATGGCATAATATCACATAAACACTGTGTTTATTAAACATTATATGTATTTTAAATTCTTTTGAAGTTGAACTTGGCAAATTTTTTGTAGGAACAATGTCAATAAATAGAGAGAATATTGACATTAGGAAGGATATGCTTAATATTGTTAGAGAGTCTATCTCAAATGTGCGTGCTCAACATAAGCAATCTGACATGTGGCAACACTTTGAGAAAATTTTCAATGAGAGAACCGGCATAGCAGACAGAACGAAGTGTTCGTATTGTGGAAAGATATTGGTGTATAATTCGACGAATGGAACTTCTTCTATGCGTAAGCATTTATCCAATTGTAAGAAATGACCAAGCAATGTAGATAGAAGCCAAACACTTTTATCATCTTTCAAAACCATAAACGAAGAAGGAGAGGACAGTAGTACGATTAACACATGGACATTCAATCAAGAGGTGTCTAGACAGTTGCTTGCTGAAATGATTATTACTATGGAAGAACCTTTTCGAATGGTGGAGCAGCCACCGTTTAGGAGATTTCTAAATTCATTGCAACCTTTGTGGTCAAATATTTCTGGCATCACATTGGCTAGGGATGTTGTGAAACGTTTTGATTATGAGAAGGTTTTACTGAAAAGTAAGTTGTACTCTCTAAAGTCTAGGATTGCTTTGACTACCGATATATGGACTTTGATTCAGAATATTAGCTACTTATGTCTCACTGGTCACTACATTGATGAGAATTGGGTTTTACATAAAAGAATTCTCAGTTTTGTGCCTATTAGTAGTCACAAGGGAAAGGAGATAGGCAAAGAGGTTGAGAAGTGCATTTTTGATTGGGGTATTGAAGATAAAGTGTCTACTATAACCGTGGATAATGCTAGTGCTAATGATGTGGCAATCGCTTACTTCAGGGGCAAATTAGCACTACTTCTGGATGGTGAGTTCTTCCATATGAGATGTACTACTCATATTATGAATTTGTTCGTGAAGGATGGTCTTAGTGAGACAAAGGATTGTATTAGCCGAATTCGTAATTCGGTTAAGTATGTGAGGAATTCTCCTGCTAGAGCTGAAACGTTTCAGAGATGTGTGAAAGAAGAAAGGATTGCTTATAAAGGTGGTGTGTGTCTTGATGTTGCTACTAGATGGAATTCCACCTATTTAATGTTAGATGTTGAAGAAAAATTCAAGAAAGCTTTTCAGAGGTTGGAAGATGAGGATCCCAACTACATTACGGATTTGTCACATGATACACCTTCTAACGAAGATTGGGAAAAAGCAAATGTATTTGCTAAATTCCTCAAAAAAATTTATGAAGCTACAAAAAAAATGTCAGGGTCAAACTATGTGATTCTAACACTTACTTTCAAGAGACAATTGGTATTGTGCTTTGTTTGAATGACTCGGAGAAAGACACAAATCCAATACTTAACAACTGTCAAAGAAAATGAAAGAAAAGTTTGATAAGTATTATGGAAGTGTTGATAGATCAAACATGATGGTATTGATTACAGCGGTTTTAGATCCTCGGTTTAAAATAAAATATGTGGAGTGGGGGTACAAAAAGATTTATGGCAATGATTTGCAAAAGGTTGGGTTGATGTCTAGAAAGTTGAGAGATTTGTTACAAGGGTTATATGATTTCTATGTGGGGGTTGTATCAGGTTTCCAAGAAAGCCAAACTTCTTGTTCTTCCCAAATTACCGAAATTGGCCAGTCTTCAGTTATTGGTGTGAGTTGTGATGAGATTGCGTACGACCCCTCCTTAGACGAGTATGAGGAGGAGATGGAGGTAGAGATTCATGATATGACCAAATCAGAGTTAGACATTTACCTCAAGGAGAAACGTCTACCCTTGAAGTCCAACTTGAACATACTAGATTGGTGGAAAGCAAATGCTGCAACGTATAAGGTTCTCTCGTATATGGCAAGAGATGTGTTTGCTATTCCGGTATCTACAGTTGCTTCTGAGTCAGCTTTCAGTACATCGGGTCGTGCACTTGATCACTTTCGGAGTTCTTTAAGTACACCCATTGTGGAGGCATTAGTTTGTGCACAAGATTGGTTGAGATATGCATATACCCCAACTACTTTTGAGGATTACTTGATGGATGCAGAAAGTTATAACTCAGGTAACAAAATAATATCAATCTTTTATATTCATATTTAGTTAATTTATTCCCAAATTATTTTGTTCAATATTTTGAACTTACTAATTAATTTTCTTGTACTTGTTTTGTAGAAATTAATGCACATGAGGCGAGCAATTCAGAGCATGGAGCATGAGATATTTTTAGTTTTTTATATTTGGATGTTGTTAATTGTTATGTTACTAATTTTATATGTTATGTAATTTCATCGTTTTAATTTTGGAGTTTATAATTTTGAATTTGTGATTTTCAACGGATTATTGTAATATTTTCATTTTGAATTTGTGATTTTCAATAGATTATTTTAATTTTGGAGTTTGAAATATGAAGTTTATAATTTTAATTTTGTTAATTAGTGCCAAGTGGGGGGTATTTGTAAGTTTTTAAGAGTTTTTTTGTCATTTTAAAAACTTTGGGGGGGATAATTAATTTTACAGGGTACCCAGAACCGGAACCGGAACCGGAACCGGAACCAGAACTGTCGGTTTCGGTTCTAGTTCCGGTTCCTTCCAAAAGTGTAGGGTACCCAGAACCAAACACCCCTAGTGGCTAGCAGTCACCGAAATGGCACATAACCAATTGAATCTAACCGATCATGCACCGATCTAGTCTTTTCCGGCCAGATCCACTATGTATCTGATCAGAAACGACCAGATCTACTGCCCGAATCTGGTCGTCATTAACGGCCAATATATGGTTGTTGTCAACAGCCAGATTATCGCACGATCGACTAGATTCGGCCGATCATATGTCATTCCAGTGTTAACAGTGGTAGCGACGAGGCTGGTGGTTTACAGTGGTTGCTGGCGGCCGACAGTGGCTTGGGTGGGTGAGGTGTTTTTGTTAATTTATAAACTTTTATTATGAAAGGTAATTGTTATGTGTTTTGAGTTAAATAGAATATGGTTGGATTTTGAATTGAATTTTGTCAATATTAAAACAAACATGTTTTTTTACTATTTACTTTAAATAGGATAATAGAAGAGAGTTTTAAAAAGTTAAACAAACAAGAGGAAAAGTAACGGCACATTAAACATTAATACTTTTATATGCTTATGTCCTTTTCAAATGGACATAATTTTTCGTTGAAACTAGTTTGTGGACTTCTTACTTAGTTTTTTGTGTGAAAGTGGTGATTTTAAAATTTTTAATTATCATTCTAAGATTAGGAGGATTGGAAGTTCTGAATACGAAAAAAAACTTGATTAAATTTGTTGCTTTCTTCAATATTTACCAAGGGTTATTTGAATATGAAAGGATCGATGGCTCACCCAAAGAGGGGGTGAACTGGGGTTTTAAAACTAATTCCAAATTTTATATAAGATTACCCAATTTTCATTATAGCACAATCGGTAGATTGGGTTAAAATGATATTTTCAAACCTTTTCGTTTATCTCCCATAGTTTAAAAATTAACATTTAGGCCTAAAATTTAAACCTTAACTAGATTCACATCCGATTGACCAGCACCAAATGGATTAAACTGAAAATATTTAAAACTTCACAAACAAAAAATGAAATGTAATTTTAACACCCAGATTTTGAAAAGTGACATTTTGGCCAAAAATTGAAAAACCCAAAACCAATGTTTTAAAACACAACCTAGGATGAAACTCGGTTTGCCGGAACCCAAGTTGACTGGTTTAAACAATTTGACCGCTGGTGAAACCGACTGACAAAATTTTTTAAAATTTAGCAAATACACACCTAAAATTTTTTAAGTCCTTATAGGTTTGAAATTTAGCAAACACACCCCAAATACAAATCAGCCAGGGACTGATTGGCGGCGATGACACCCCAAATGGAACCCCAATCGTCCCTTGAGCCCATTCCCCTAAAAATCTACCCAAGATCTAGTCGATATAGGTTTGATTTCGGCCAAATCTCACTGATGTTGGCATTAGCATTCCAGGCCAGATCTCACCATTGCTGGCGTCGACAACCTTCCCCATCACCTTGAAAATAATCCTCTCTTCCTACTGACCAAAACCTACCTCATCCCACCCCCGTTAGCCTCACCAATCACTAGCAAAGGCTACTTGTTTTCGTTTACAATGTTTTTCGATTTTCGACCGATTTACTCATCGGAATTCAAATCTGTCGCCACCATTACACTCACCGGTACTTTCTCTTCAAAAGCCCTAACATCCTGGCCTTCAATTGCTAGCCGATCATCATCCCAAATTCTAGGGTTTTGGGTAAATAGGAATAATGTAAACTGGCCCGGTGAAGCTTCCAATTGGGCCAGGTTTTAAAACAGTGCCCAAAACAAGTTTTTGTGAGCTTTCATAAGTGAATTATAAACTATAACTAAGACTAATGCTTTACAAGTGCAATCAATACAAGGGAATTATAGACCTAGACTAAGCTTCTTGAATTCTTGAAGAATTTTGGTCAAAGCTTGTCTTTTTCCTTCTTGATAATCTTTTTCAATATCTTGCAAAACTTCCTTGCCATCTAAGTAAATACTTAAGCAAGAGTCCTTAGCAAACATGATTCAGGACATATTAGTTTGTTATCATCAAAATAATAGCATGATGACTCATTGAGTCAACAAAAAAATATCCAGTGTACAAGAAAGTTACAGGGACTTCTAGTACACTCATAAAACTGTGTGGGCTGGAGCTACATTTAATCTATTTTGTCTTTACATGCTTGCAAGCCAAGTAAGTTTGATTGGCAAATTTTTGTCATTTTTGCTTTAATATTTACCTTTAGTTATATCGCAACATCTTTGCTTCAAACAACTAAACAAGCAATGGAAATATTGCATCATCTATGGTAATTCATTCCTTTGTGTGCACATGCCAAGATCTTTAAAGTTTGAAGGGAAGAATGGTTTATTGCTTCTCACAACTGATAAAACAACTTTAAGGATAGAAGAATGAACTGTTAGTATAAGAGAGAGAATTTTCCCGACAAATAAGTTAAGGAAATGATGATAAAGGGTACAAAATTAATTGCACTAGCATTAGACAAATTAATTAATGGCGTTCTAACGCTAGGGGGTTATATGATAGTTTCAAATATCTTTGTACCCCTATACCATCAATCATCATATCTCTCGGGAGATTTATAAAATTAATCCAATAGTTATATTTAATTTTTTTACTTACATCAATTATCATATTCCGTCGTTTCACAGCCAAAGATTTGGCCTTTTACGGCCAAATCTGTGGCTTTGAAACGGCCATAGAAACAGTCAGATTTGGCCGTTTTCAACCATGGATCTGGAAACAACCTTACTGATCTAGCCGATCATGCACCATTATTGCTATTACCGCCAGTAGCCGGTAGTGGTCTTAAGTGGCTAGGGATATTTTGTTAACTTTTGAACTTCTTTGTGGTTGTGGTGTTTTAGCTAAATTCTCAAATGTAGGGGGTCTGGGTAATATTTATTTGGTAGACATTTGAGGGCAATTGTGTTCAAAATGTTATTTAATTAAGGGCCAAATAGGTATAAAAATCATCTTACATTGGTAATCTTTTAATAACACCCGTGGGGATAATCTAATTACACCCTATATTACCAACAAGAAACATTTTTTGCAACAATAGATATCCATAATATTTTATTACTTACAAACCAAACAAGGGAATCTTGAAAATTAAACAAAGATTGCCCCCATAATCTTGTATGACCTTGAACCAAAGGCACCCTCTATCATATCTCTCGGAATTATGAAATTAATCCAATAGTAAAAAAAAAAAAAAAAAAATTGCATATTGTAAGTAAATAATATTAATGAAATTCCAAAATTATATTGTTTCATTGAAAAAGTTATTTTGAATTTTCAAAGTCATTTTAAGTACTTTGCTTTTTAGGTTTTAGTTTTTGACTAAACTAACAACAAACCGAATAGAAAGCTTGAACTTTAGCTTCAAAACAAAATCTAGGGGATGTTTTTGTAATGTTTTTAAACCTTTTGGGAGTTACAATTTTTTACAAAACTATAAGGGAGTCAAAAAATTATCCTCAAAATCACTAACAGCCCATGTAGCCGAAGGATCTAGGGGGCATTTTATTAAAAAACCAAACCAAGTTTAAATTTACTTAAAAGGCCATGTAGTTTGAAAGTGTTAAGTAAATAGTCTTATTATTGATTAAGGTTAATTAAACATGAATAGTGGTTAATTATGATTAATGAAGTATTGTGTAATCTTTTAAAAATTATAATATGTCCCCAAAGAGCCGAAATTCTTGCAAATAAACCCAAACACCTTCTTCTTCTTCCTCCCACCATTAACGCATATAAACATGAATAGTGGTTAATTAGGATTAATGAAGTATTGTGTAATCTTTTAAAAATTATAATATGTCCCCAAAAAGCTGAAATTCTTGCAAACAAACCCAAACACCTTCTTCTTCTTCCTCCCACCATTAACGCATATCCCCCCCCCCCCCCCCTTCTCCCCTTGCTTGGTTCCTCCTTCCTGTACATCTTCTTCTTCCTTTGCCATTAACATCTTCCCCGCCACAGATTCGCCTCCTCTTCCTTCTCCTCCTGACATTTTGTCCAAGTATGTGTATCTCCTCTTTGCATTTTATATTTCGATTTACTAAGATTTAATGATGGATTGGGTTTAGGTTATGATTTTGATTTAGTTGCTTAGGTTATTGGGTTGTATTTGAAGTAATGCAAGCTGAAAGGAGTGAAATTTGTTAAATATTTTTCTTGCATTGCGGGTAGCTGGGGGTGGTAGCATCGATTACATGTGGAGATGACTGAATATGTGTTCTAGATATGATGGATTGCTTAAGCAAGCTGGTGTATTGCTTAAGTGATCTAGTATGTCTGGTATAATGCAGTAGATCACAAACAACTTAAGCAATCAGGTATATGGCAAAAGATCACTTAAGCGATCTACTATAAGTCTGGTATATGGCAGTAGATTACTTAAGTAATCAAGTATATGACAGAAGATCGCTTAAGCGATCAGGCTTAATTATTCCAGATCGCTTAAGCGATAATAAGCAATATACCAGATCGCTTAAGCGACTCTGTAGATGCTTTTTAAAATCTATCAACCCTTAATACATCAGTTAATAATTTTTTTTTCTTGCATTATAGATACTTGGCTACTATTAGACATGGGACAAGTTGTTTTGGGTGTTGAATATTTTGGCAAGTGGGTGGAGGAAGAAAGTTGCTAGATGTGGATTGGGAAGAGCAAAGAAGTTATACCAATTGTTGTGAGCATAGAGGTTAGTTTTGATGAGTTGATTGATGAAATAATTAGAAGATG